TTTAAGTTATATATTAACAAAAAATTAATGTAAGTGTTTTATATGTAAATATGTTACACTTGTGTTATTATTATTCAAGTAACCTTTATTTAAAACTATGCATTAATTGATGATTACTTCTTTGATAATGAGATGTAGTTAAACATGAAATTAAATATTTGAAATAATTATTAATTAGTAGGATCCATAATATTAATTTGGTGATGATGTGGACACCTTAAGAGGAGAGAAACTCTCCCATTATATATATAGATTATAGTTTATTTTTGTGAAACGTTAAAGTGTACAACTCTTATCTTATGGAAAACTTTCTCCTTTTGTATAAATGTGATGTTATCCCTGAAATATGATCAGTCTCAAATTGCATAGTTAATTAATTGTCTTCTTAACTTGTGGTTGTGCCTCTTAATGAAACCCAATTGCTAACAATTCATCTCCTTTCTTCTTTTGGCTCCTACTGATCAAACCTACCCACATATAAGAGAATATAGGTAATCAATCCATCTCAAAGTATTGGGCCTTTGGCTACTTTTACGTGTATCATTGAAGCCAACTCTTTCTGTTACGTTCCACAATTTTACATCTTTGGAATAAACCGGTTTTTCAAATACTTACATATGATGTTTTTTGGGGGGTTTATACTCAAACTAAGCATCGTCAAGCCAATGTACATAGACTAATAACTTTTTTTTTTTTTGAATAAATGTAAAATTACATTCATCAAAAAACCTTAGTTACATTAAATACGTCTTTTTGCTAAAAGATTGTAAAAGACGTGACTAATAATTTTAAAGTATTAATTATAAAAGTTACTGATTTCTTAAAATTAATAATCATCTTTTTCATACTTTTTACTTATTGTAGCACCTTGACAACATGTTGGATATATATAGATTACAGTTCAAAAAGAATGCTTATGCATTTAAGGATGAAATGATTGCAATTTAGGACAAATTTTTGCGGAAATGTAGAGAAGAATCCTTTGTAAATGTATGGATGGTGCAAACATGTAAAAAAAAAGAAATGGGCTGAAGATGTTCACTTTTTGTATAATGTTGTAAATACGGAGTAGAAATATTGGGTGGTGATGACCCCATATATGGTGTAAAGGTCTTTTAATTAGAACCCGAAAAACACCAGGCTCCCATACTCCTATAATGCAGAGAAGCTATCAGATTACAAACAAGAAATGAAAAACTATATCGATAAGAACCTAAAAATGATTGACGAGTTCGTACATGGGTTGATTGTTGGTATTGGCAACTTAGAGATTATTTATGAGTCGGAAGAATCTTTTTGGCGAGACCTTTGTTATTGTACATTACTCTGATATGGTATCATACACTGCTCTGATACCAAGTAGAATTAGCATCTTAGAACATGTGCAGTGCTAGTTTCTCACCATAGTCTCTCATGTACAAAAGTAGTATTAAAATTATAAATATTATTGTTTAATTACATGAGTCTCTCAAAAAAGTGGAGAGAGTCTCTCATAATCTCTCATTTGAGAGACTCTCTTCACTTTTTTGAGAGACTCATATAATTAAATAATAATATTTATAATTTTAATACTACTTTTGTACATGAGAGACTTTGGTGAGAGACTCACCACTGCACATGCTCTTATATATTCAACTTATAGGAGATTACAGAGTATATATATACATATTTACAAGAGAGGCTCTTGTAGGTCAATCTATATACATAGTGTTCCTAAAACGATATCAATCATATGTTGAGTAGAAAAGGAATACTGTTTTGTAATTCTAACATAACGTCATGGTATGCCATCGAGAGAACTCCTACCTTACATATAGATCTTCAGATTCGTTTGACTGAGAATGATATATATATATAATATGTTAGGAACATAGCCTTTGAACGGTAGAGAACTAGAGACCATTGGCTGTTTGTAGTTTTTAAAAATTTAAATGTTGTTGTTGACTATTTGTAATTTGATCACTAACCCTTGTATAAGGGATACCCAAACATTCCTATAATAAGGCTCAATGAGCTCGGTGTACTTGAAACATGCTTCCTTTGTATCACACATATTTTGATTAGTCCAGCAATCTTCTCAACAACTTCGGATTTTAAACTTTTAAATGTAGTTGTTGATTGTTCGTTATTGAGAAGAAGAAAAAAAACTTAACAATTTTTTGTTGTTGACATTATAGTTTCTTCAAATCTAAAACCATCAACGTTGTGTAATATTTAAATTTTATTAGCCCCAAAAAAGCTTTATTCTTTTTTTAAAGGTACATTAATGTTTTCATTGCTCCTAAGTAATAAATAATTAAAATAAATAGCTGGCGAATTGATATTATAGTCTATAAATAGTTTATCGTATAAATCCTATTATCAACGCT